ATGAGTCACCAGAAGTCTGAGTGGCAGAAACTGCAAAACCGAATCCAGCAAGTTTCCAGGCTCCACTCAAGGTGATAAGAATGTTCTGCAGAACATATACAATTATATTTAATTCACCAATCTTAAATTTCACAATGAAGGAACAAAAAAGGATTTGTACCACAGGGTAACTATTAAACGAAGAAGCGGTCCATATGAATGAACTGTGAAAGGTTAAATAGGACACCTCCGAAAGAATTCAAAGAGCATAAAATACCTTTAAGGTTAAGCTAGGCTGTGAAAGTGACAATTAGAAATACATAGATGCTACCGACGGGTACAAAAAAAAATTTACAATACAATTAATTGCTATAAACCATTTCCAGTAATATGCCATACACGGGCAACTTACTAGCCAGAATTTCTTCGTTTATAAAATATGGGGCTAAACAAAAAAGAAAAAAGAAAAAATATTAAGGGGGGAAATTAAGTTGAAGCAATATTTTCAAATAGTCCACAACTGTGTTTTAAGTCGCGTCAATACTTTTTTAGGTGTCAACGACCACAATTGTGGCCCCATTGTCCACAATTTCCTACAATATCATGAAATCCGAAACTGCGACCCATATTAAGACCATGAGTTGCAGTAATGCTAAAAGATTATCACCTCGGGTGCTATAGCTCGATGAATAAGATGAGCTTGGTTGTGGAGAAAGTCCAGGGATTCTGCAATCTGAAGTAAACCATGCTTCACCTCCAACAGTCCCATTTCCTGAAAAGCAAAGGCTCTATCCTCAGCAAGAAGTGAAAATAAGTGGTAAACCCCATTCTAGTCCCCTAAATTTAGAGAAATGTAAGTAAATCCCAAAAATTTAAAATTCGAGCCTCTAATATGCACAATTTACTATGCTTACAGTCCATCGCGAAGTTAAAGGCAGAACTAAAGTGACTAATGGATTCAAAGACAGGGACCAACAAAAATAAAGACAGAGACTAAAGCGAAAACAGATTTAAATCCCAGGGATTCATGTACCACGGTATTAAAATTCTGAGACAACTGAATCAAAACATCACGAACTCAGACTAGAATAGAAGTCTATTCCGAAAAGAAACAGCAAAGCAGGGAGTAGATCGAGTGAAGCTAGCAGATCACGTAACAAAACGAAACGAGATGTGGATCATTTACTACGTATAAGAAGGAACTGAAAAAAAGAAGGTACCATTCCCCTGAGATCTTTAGGAAGAACAGGAATGTTATCAACAATGGCAAGAGTATTGGCAGCGGAAGCAAACAAGGGTTCGGTGACCATAGCCATGGCGTTCTTGCTCTCGTCGAGGGCCTGGACGACGTGAACGACCCCAGGATGCCTGAGGCGAACGAGCTTGGCGGCATCGGTCCGAATCAAATCGAGAAAGGAATCCTCGGCGGCCTTGGTAAGGCCCGCGCGCATTCGGGCCTCGGAAAGAGAGCGCTTGTCCAACACCCAGACGCAGACGACAGGGTATTGGTGCTGGCGCGCTGGATCACGGGCCCGGGCCGAGTAGAGCCTCCAGACGAGCCCGGGCCCCGCAGAGCCGATCTGGTCAAGGAGCTCGTAGTCCTGAAGTGCCTTGGGGCCCGTGACCTCCTGCACCGTTGTCTGCACTCTCTTCTCTATGACCGCGGCGGTTTTGGCCAATGCTTGGGTTAGGGTTTTCATATTGAGCGACATTTTTCGAAGATTTTTATGACTGAATTAAACAGCACGTCACAGGGCACAGCTCCCTCTAATTCAATTCAGACTTTGAAGATGGATTGCAGATTTACACTGTGCCCCGATCACCTTCTCTCTCTCTCTCTCCTCTTTTTCCCTTTCTCTTTCTATTTCTCCTTCTATGCTCTTACATTCATCTTCCTTAGCCCACCCACCTTCTTCTTTAGTCTATTTTGTCCTCCTTCATCTTTTTCTTCTACCATGCCTTCCTTCTTCTTTTTTCTTTTTTTCTAAAAAAATTATTATACCATTCAACCCTTCTAATTTATTAACTAAAACCATAAATATATCTCTAAGATTTTTCAGACATATTTACTTTCAACCTATTAGAATAACTTGTGATAAAAACAAGAACTTGAAAAAAAAACATTATAAGTAATTATCAATTTCTATAACTAAATTAGTTATAGTTAATAAATATTTAATGAACTTGGTTTCAATAGAGGAAGTCAAAAACGATTTCCTATTGGGACATTGTTTTATATTCGAAATAACATGATATGATGATATAGCAAAATTAGTAGACAAATAAAATTTTTATTTAATTTCTTATAAAAGATAACTCTTCAAATCCTAATTATTAAAACTAATATATGAAATTCAACTATATCCAATATTTCAACTAGTTTCCAATAATACTTAAGCTAGTAATCTAACCACATAATTTAGTATTTTAAGATTAAAATAACCAAACAACATACACGGTTCTAATAACTAACTCATATTTGATGGTATACTGTGTGGTTCTCAACTAACAAAGTCATTCTAACTAGGAAGATAGAGTCTAACCTCCTTAACTTAATGTTTTTTATAGATGCTCTAAATTTTAAGTAGTCTCAATTGATATTAAATATTATTTCTTTTGTAATACGCCTTAAACTTTAATTTTTTTTTTTCTTATTGACTTTTTTTTAAAAGTTAATACCTACATATAATAGAACTTTATTTTAATTAACCCTTAAAAAAATTCTAATAAAATGAATTGCAGCAAAAGGAAAAACAACGAAATTAAAGCTCAAGGTATATATTTATGAGAGATAAAGTTTGAGAATAATTTAAAGTTTAGGCTATCTGCTTTAAAAAAAAGTCTAAGACAATTATAGCCTTGTGTGTGCAAATAATAATAGAAAGATAAAAGTAAACAAATCCCTCTCTGCCTTGTAGTTTAGGTCTTTCACTTGTAACAGATAATTTAGCAAGTAATATTTACTCATGAGGCTAAAATGGTCATATGACTTGGAATTAAAGTCTCACTCAAAAATGACAACACCTCATTATATGTTCCTATCGAAAAAATTTAACTTTTGTTTAATTGATGAAAACATATTAAAAATGAAGAAATTGACTATTTTTATTAAAAAAAATATTGAAAAAGAAAAAAAAAGTGTTGTCATATATAAATAAAGTATAAATAGTAAGGTAATTTAATTGAAGTATTTAACAATTTTAAAATATTAAACTCCACCGTTCTTAAATACCCGGGGTTCAGTGAAAAATAAACTAATTTCTCACGATAGTTTTTTGCATAAATATTTATAAGAATGAAAAAATATAAGATGACTTTTCTTATAAAGTAAAATTAGTTCTGTACAAATTTTAAAAAATATAAAAAATGTATAAATTCTTTCACAAATTCTTGTTTGTTTGGTAAGAAATTTATGAGGATAATTAAAAAACATCACAAATCTTATCTCTACCTTTTTCAAAAAAAAAAATCTTTTATTTACTTTTTTTCAACTTTCTCATTACATTGTCCATCTTAAATTTAACACTTAAACAATGTAGCATATGGTTTTCTGACGTCACCAGATCGATCACCTAAGTCAATTATTAGACAAATTACCATATTGACTACTAGGACAATCACTTAAGACGACCACCAGACTGACCATCAGATTGACCACCAGACCCATCACCTAAGTCGATCATTAAGTTCATCACCAGGCTGACCATCAAGCCGACCACACAAGTTTACCACTAGACTAACCATCCACCAGGTCAACTAACCACCTAGTTTATTGTTTTACATTAACTATTGAGATTTGTTGTAAAAATTTGTATGTTATTTTTTGACCTAACATTAGGTTATGTTTTAAGGATCCTAATTTTTTTAATGCTACGTCTCACCAATACACCACCTCGAGTAATTGCCCATTATGTTCCTCTTTGTGGGTTTTAGTTCAACTTTCTTATTTCGTAAATTTAATATTGATAGTACACATTCTATTTTTCCAAATGCTTTGGTTATATTAGGTTGAATAAGAATAAAAAGTAACTACACACATTTGTGCGTTTATTTTCACATAAATATTGTTTAAAATAACATAACTATTTTCATAACGTAAAGAGCAAAATATAACCATAAATATACACAAATGGTATGTCTTCACCAAGAATGTCATTTTATTTAAATATCATCATTGTAGAAAATAAATGACAACAACATATAATTGACATTCAACCGTTTGAAAATTGTTGAACTTCAAATAAAGAAGTGGAGTTTTGAAACATGTTTGTTCCCATAATTCGTATGTGTTTTGATTATATAGTATTGGTGAAAGCGTTACCTCGCGTAGACTTTTGCTTCTTATTGCACCTTAATTAGGGAAAACTTTCAAATTGCATAATTTGTAACGTTTTTGAATTGCTCACTTTGTAAAAGAAAGACAAATGTTGATGTAGTATTTCAGAAAATATTTCATATATTTTTAAAAAATTGTTAAAAGAATTTGTCTCGTATAATATCTCATATATTATGAAAAGTTTGTTAAAAATATTGGTTTGGAATTTTTTTCAAAAAAGTTTGTGCCAAAATATTTTTAAAATAAATAATCTAAAAGTCACCATTTTATAATTTTTTTTTCATTTTAAAAATCCTAATCAGAAATCTTTAGGATCATTCGTGATCTTTTCGAATTATGGATCTTTAATGAGAAATGAAATTTTATATAGTATTCCGAAAGGTATTTATCATATTCTAAAAAAACAAAAAACATCACATATATTTTGGAAAAATTATTCTATTTTTTTTAATTTTTATTCAAAAGACTTATTTTAAAGAATTTCTAGAATAAATAATCAACCAATCACCATAAAACATCAATGATAATGTTAAAAGTTATAGGTGTGCAAGCAGTAGTTATGGGGTGCAGGAATAAAAACCTTTTATCACATGATGTACAAAAAAACGGCGCACGTGGCATATATATCTATCTCTCTCCCTCTCTCTCTCTCTCTCTATATATATATATATATTGTCCATGTGTTGGCTGGTTAGCTCATGGAAGAAGCGTTTGGGCAGTCGCTTTCCATCTTGTTCGCAATACCCTTTAGTTTATTTGTGCCTTTGGAGCTTCGTCGGGATTCTTTTTACGGTTCCGTGTCACACTAGCATTCTACTCGAGTCATGGCTTCACACATGGGCGACGGTGCCAAAGAAGAATTCCTCAGAGATTTTGGTGAACATTACGGCTATCCTAACGGCCCCAAATCCATTGATCAAATTCGAGCTACTGAATTCAAGAGATTACAAGTTCAAGGTCATACTCATACTTCCCATTGATTATCCAGTTTCAAAACGCTATCAACATGATAAAATAATATCTATTTCCACTTGCGAATGGATTGTCAATTTTCTTCTGTTTTTCTTTTGTTTATTTTTGGTTTTCCTGCTTTTACAGATCTTGTCTACTTGGACCATGCTGGGGCAACTCTATACTCTGACCTGCAAATGGAATCAGTTTTCAACGATCTCACTAATAACGTATATGGAAATCCTCGTATCCTAACATGTTTCACAATCTTTATTGTTCAATATTCTTAAGACTGACTGCAGGGTGAATTTGCGTAAGTGGTGGTTGACACCGACTTTATGAAGTGAATTTCCTTAACATTGATACTAGATAGCCAAAGTGACTCCAGTTCTGCAACTCTTGACATTGTGAAGAATGCCCGTCTCCAGGTATATGTAAATTTTTAATTATTTAGCATGTTAAACTTCTTTGCAACTAAATTATGATAATTTTGTGATTTGATTCGGGATGATGATGTATCTTTTGTAGTGAAAAGTGGATGTTAATATTTTATGCAAGAATTTGTTAATCTATTTCTGGAGATGATAAAGGAGAGAGTAATAAAGTTCAATGGCAAACTGAACGTAATTAATTTTCCTGGGTTTACTTTGTCTTGCTTTGGTTGACTGGAGTGGACCATGTTGGGTCAGCCAAATAGGTGTGTCCAACTAGTAGTTGTTCACTAGGAAATTGCTATTGGTGTTTCTTTTTTGTACTTTTTCATATTTGTTCTGGAATTTTTTCTACATTTGGACGTGTTATTGAACTATCAATCATGCAGGTCCTTGACTACTGCAAAGCATCACCTAAGGAATACAAATGTATATTTACCTCTGGGGCAACAGCAGCGCTGAAGCTGGTTGGAGAGGCTTTTCCGTGGAATTATAGCAGTAGTTTTATGTATACAATGGAGAATCATAATAGCGTTCTTGGGATAAGAGAGTATCCTACGCAATTAAAAAATGATACATTGTTTAATTTTATAATAATTGCCTTTGGCCAACTTCTGGATACCGAAGGTTAACAATGCTCAACAACATGGAGGTGACATCATGATATTCTAGTGTCACTTTCCTGTCACTGAGCTGTTGTAAGGAAAAAGGATGAGTTTATCATGATAGTTACTGTTCAGTATATCACTGTACTGATGAAACAATACCTTTGTTTAAGTTTAGTAAAATGGAATGAATCTTGGCATTAGATGTCTTGAAGTCATTAAGATATTTCTTTTGGTCCTGATGTGACTTTAATTCCATTTCTTTTCAAACCATTTTTCTGTTCAACAAGATTCGAGGACTTAACTATTTTATATAATATTTTCAGTGATTTTTTTTTTTACTTTACCAAGTTTGTCTTCAGATAATGTCTTATTTTTTCATTCTGTCTGTTATTGAAAATAATTTTCTCTTGCAATAAAACTGCTGTAGTACAAATTTCCTGTTACTTTCTGATAGATGTGGATATGTTTTTAATTTTTTCCACTGTGACTGCTCTGCTACATTAGATGACTAATAACACCATCCTGTGTACCCCCTTAACTAGTATAGATATGCTCTTGATCATGGAGCACAGGCCATTGCAGTAGATATTGACGAAGATATACATCCTGGAATGACAGGAGAAACACTTTCTACAAAGATGTCACTGCACCAGGTTCAAAGGAGAAATGTCGCTGAATCACCAGAAGGAGAGCCAACAGGTAAACTCTTTAGGTAATGGATATGTTGCTGGGTTGGATGACTTATTATATTTGTTTCTTCAATGCAGGTGATGTGTATAATTTGTTTGCCTTTCCCTCAGAGTGCAATTTCTCTGGATTAAGATTTGGTCTAGACTTGGTGAACATTATCAAGGAAGACTCAAGCAATATTTTGGGAATTTCTTCAGTTTGCAAGTAATATACTTCATTCTCTCTTATTGACTCCTTCAATATGGCATTGAATCTTTTGTCCAAATAACATAATAAAGACTTAGTTATACATATCTATTTGATAATGCGGACTCTATCTATCAAATGACTTGTATGTCAAACTGATTATGCTGTGCAATTTATTATTTTCTTGTTTTTCCTCATTCAAAACATTCTTTATGTTTTCTTTTCGAGAGGTAAAGTATTGTTTTTGTTGAAAATAGTATATGATAGACAATAATTAAATAAACTATAACATTCAAATGTGAAACCATGTATGCAAGTTTTGTTTTTACACTTAGTAGAGCTGCAGTGTGACTTGGGATTTTTGTGTGCATGTGTTATGTTTAAAACCCAATCCCTCAAAGAGAAGCAGTAATTTAAAACAAAGGATGAAATCTGTGTGTGTATTATCTCAAGTATGGAAGAAAGCTACTGGAGTAGCATAAAAAGAGAAAGGACTGAAAACCGGAAATTGTTGAATTGCCAAAAAAAGCAGAAAGGAAGGGTTTGAATCAGATTCTTTTCCCTTTCTCCATAACAGAATAGCTACATATTAGACCCTGCCTGTTAGGTTTCTGGGCAATGAAACCTAACCAACTCCCTCACAAACTCTCACAGAAGACACATATAGAATGATTAGAACTTCTGTATTAACCAAAAGAACAAATGTACATGTATAGTGATCTAACGGGAGCCTAATCCCCCCACAAGCCAATATCCTGTCTTTACACAAAGAATACAAAAAATAAACTCCCTTCTAACAAAGAATAGAACTCTATTTATACAAGACCTCCCTTCCCACCCATCCTAATTGCTAAAATAGTTAGGATATTAACTCTGTATTAACTCTTCCTTCTCTCCTAAACCCATTATATCCTATTACTTTATATCCTATCATTATAACCCGCTGCAGAACAACCTTGTCCTCAAGGTTGGAATCGTGAAACTTGATCTCCTGGCTCCTCTTCATCATCGTGTTATCATATGAAGGGAACCCAATGGCTGCTGCCTTCCGATTTAGGTCGGGAGGCTTGGGTGGTGGCAAATCATCCTCCAATGTCTTCCATTCTTCTCGGATTCTATTAACTTCCAGCATTCTGGTCACCTTTTTTCCAGAATCATAAGCCCTGAGAAAATGGTCTTCGATATGTCTTTCAATGCTTCAAGCAGCTCTCTCCCCTCTGCAGGTGTATCAATAACTGCAAGCCCCCTTTGCTTCCCTTGGTCCTCGGTGGCCACACCCACCACCTTCACTATTTAAACACCACTAATCGCTTGCTCTGCAACACCTTCATTGTTACTTTTATTATTATTATTATTCTCTTCAACTCTCACCAGATTGTGCTCAACTTCTTCTCTTTTCACCCACGGAAAAGTTGATTTTTCCTCACCCTTATTATCACTTCCCGCCTTCGCCACCCCACTAACCCATGTTTCCTTCCTTCCGCACGGACTCCATACTCTCGGCGCCTCCTGATCGTTCCGGGTTATAGCGATTGGGCTTAGACGGCGTCACCGCTCTTGTAGTTCGCCCACAAGACGCCTGATTCTTGGTCGTGCTCCAGTTCCCAGCCTTTGCACCGCTGTGGGCCTCCCTTATATCCCTTGCGATCCTCATAGCCTCCCTTAATTCTTGTGGGTCATGGGGTGGAACTTGATTGCGGATGCCCTCTTGCAGTCATGAGAGAAAGTACCTCATTAGCTATTCTTTCGCCACTCCCTTTGTCTGACCCACTAAAGTTTTGAAATCTTGATTATATTCTTCCACCGTCCCCGACTGCTTAATGGCCGCCAACCTTTCACAGATTGTACCCCTGTTCTTTCCTCCAAATCGCACCACCATTGCTCCCTTCACACCTTCCCAAGGACGATTCTTGGCTTTCTCCTTCTAGGTCCAGAACCAATACCCAGCGCTTTCCTCCATGCTAATGTATGCCAGGCGCACCTTTTCGTCCTCCGCCATCCCTTGTAACTTGAAGAACTTCTCGGCGTGGTTGATCCAATTCAACGGATCGAGTCCCTCAAAGACCGCTAACTCCACTCGTTTCCTCCAACTGTATTGCCCCTCCGGACGTTCGACTTCTCTTCCTCCATCATCTTCTTCTTGCCTCGCCCTCCTATTCGCATTCACGGACGCTGGACTTCCGTTCGATTGTCCCTCCTGGTCGCGTTTCCTTCCTCCCAAGATTCTCATGACTTCTTGCAAGTCTTGACGTATCACTGCCGAATCTTGACGCAACACTGCTGTCTCAGCCTTCATTCCATCCACATCGATCTCCATAGCTTCCGGTTGACCCTCCACTGCGTTTAATCTTCTGTCGATTCTGCCCTCCATTTGGCCCTTCTCCCCCAAATTGGATCTGGCAGGTCGGACCAATTGTTACCTAACCAACTGTCATAGAAGACACATAGAATGATTAGAACTTCTGTATTAACCAAAAGAACAAATGTACACGTATAGTGATCTAACGGGAGCCTAATCCCCCTCACAGGCCAATATCCTGTCTTTACATAAAGAATACAAAAAAAAAAATCCCTTCTAACAAAGAATAAAACTCTATTTATACAAGACCTCCCTTCCCGCCCATCCTAACTGCTAAAACAGTTAGGATATTAACTTTGTATAAACTCTTCCTTCTCTCCTAAACCCATTATATCCTATTACTTTATATCCTATCACTGCCCATATGTAATCCTTGAGACTTGGATTGACGCCCACATGTAATCTTTGAGACTTGGATTGACTGTTTTGATTCTCCCACTTATACTCTTTCTCTGATTATTCACATCTACTGCCACCTGGCCATTAGTCATTACATATTCAGATTCTTCTATGTGTTTCATTTGTCCTTTTTGTATTTTTACTTGTTACAACATGCATATATTGACAGCTACATTTACTTTTGAGACATCTCTGAACACTTGAGTTATAATAGTCATGATTTCTTGGTTCATTTTTACTGTTTTTTAGAATATAAGGACACATCAATGAGACTAATCCTGTATGCAGGAACTTTAACTTTAGTACTCTATTTCTTTTATAAGCAAACGTTTTAAGAGGGAAAACAGAGGTACAGAAGCAAGATGATAAGAAATCCTCAGAAACTATCAAGAATAAAAGGGTAAAAAAATAAACATGTAGCAGCATGACGATCTCTCTAGATCTACCAAAAACACCACTCTAAAAGAGAGCATTAGTTGTACAACATTTATACTTCACATATTTATTTACTTGCTTTTTCTTTCACTTTGTCTTGTTCTTTTCAATATGATGGATACCCCAATGACAAAAGAAGACTATATATAGATGAATTACTTTGTCTTTTTTAAGTCACTCTTAGAGAGCTTTATTTCTTTTTGGAAATTCTTTGAAGCATAGATGTTTGGTGTAGGAGAATATAAGCAAATGTCAATTTCTTTATTTTCTGTTTTCTAAGCTGTTTGTAAACGGTCTCTTATTCTTTGTATCAGGATATAACCTTCATCATTACATTTATAACTAACAGAACTGTCACCTTATGGCTATAGCTTTCATTTAAAATGTTTATATATGTTTCTTGTGCAGAGAAACACTTCAAAAGGTTAGGGTAGAGATTAAAAGTATGGAAGAAATTATGATTCAAATACTTTATCTAAATAGTACAAGAGGATCCATTATACAGAACTCTTCCACCCTACAAACAAGTACAAACAAGAAATTATGATTCAAGTACTTTATTTGTCTTTGAAAATTCTTTGAAGTGTAGATATTTGCTTACTTTTTTCTTTTCCTGTAAAAAACAAACAATGGGCTGTTGTTTTCTTTAAGCCACTCTCTCTTTTTTATTTTGTGCAATGTTTGTCTATATGTATGGAGAGAGAGAAGATTTTATTTATCTTCTGAAACTCTCGAAAGCGTGAAGCATAGATGATCGTATATTTGCTTATTTGTATATTTCTTTTCACAAGAAATGGGCAATGGATGGTCTTAATTGATGCTGCCAAGGGATGTGCTACCATGCCACCTGATTTATCTAAGTATCCTGCTGATTTTGTTGCTGTCTCATTTTACAAGGTAAAAGAGTATATATTTTAATTTTGTTTTACTAAGGACTTCTTCGAAAACTAAAGTTTTTTCTTTCTGTGTTTCTGTTAGCTTTTTGGCTATCCAACTGGGCTTGGAGCTCTCATTGTTCGAAATGGTAAGCTACTGGTTGTGTTGTGGGCAATGGATATATATTCTAATTTTATACTGTTAGAATACAACTGAGTAGTAACTCACAAAACGGAGAACAAAAAGGAAAGAGGACAAGAGATATGGGTATTCAATATGAAATTTATTTCTCACTTATTAGGAGCAGTTAGTTAACAGCCCACTAACTACCTAACTAACATACAACACTAACTAAATTATTTACGACACTCCCCCTTAATTCATATTAGCAGTAGACAATAATCCTGTCTTTTCTCTAATCAACTTGAATTGGTCAGCCTTTAGAGGCTTTGCTAAAATATCAGCCATCAGTTCATTAGTACTACAGTATTTTACCTCCAACTTCCCTTTACTGACTTGATTCCATAGTAAGTGAAATTTTGTCTGTATACGCTTGCTCCTTCCATGAGCAATAGGATGTTTAGCCAAGCTAAGAGCTGACTTGCTGTCTACTAGCATATTCATTTGCTCTTCTCTTCTAATCTTCATATCTGACATCGAGTTCTCAAGCAGTTAATTAACAACCCACTAACTGCCTGACTAACATACAACAGTAATTGAGTTATTTATAATATTCCCCCTTAATTCAGATTAACACTAGTCAACACTCCTATCATCTTTCTATGCAGCTTGAATCTTCACTAAACACACTCACAAACTAGGAGAAAAAGGAAAAAGAACAAGAGATATGGGTACTAAATGTGAAATTTATTTCTCAGTCATATGTATCACAATACATCATTACTATTTATAGTACTTTTACAAGCAGTTAGTTAACAGCTCACTAACTACCCCACAAACATTCAACCTTAATTGAATTATCTACAAAGTATATAGTTTTTATGATTTGATATTGTTATTAACCTTGGCTAGAACTATATTTTATTCTTTTATTCATTCATTCATTCACTGATCCATTGACTTTAAGTACAAGACATTTATCTATGCTAGTATCTATATCTCAGGATGCAAATGCTTGATTGATTCACTGTATGCTATTCTGGGTGAATTCTGTTGATGCTGTGCCTTGTTTCTCTTGAGCGTGAAACTTGTGTCTCATGGCTATTAATTTGACTCTAGAAGTTTTTCTGTTATTGACTATTCTATTCTCTTATATTGCAGATGCTGCCACACTACTGAAGAAGACTTACTTTAGTGGAGGTTTGTGGCTTAGAATTTACCTGCTTCACTGCGGTTTATACATGGTTATTTGATTGATAGGATCCATCACAGGAACGGTTAGCGCATCCATTGCTGATATTGATTTTGTTAAAAGAAGGGAAGGCATCGAGGAAATGTTTGAGGATGGAACTGTTTCATTCTTGAGCATAGTATCTATCCGCCATGGCTTCAAAATCCTGTCTTCTCTTACTGTATCAGCAATATCAAGGTATATAAAGTTGTATAAATATATAAAATATCCAGATTATGACATGAATTTACAATCATAATATTATTTACCATTTGAAGTTCTTGTTATATATTATATTAGTTTTTTTTATCATATGACTGATTTAACTTGTTGCTTATACTTTTCAAATTTCAACATCTGATCAAGGAAAGAAAAAAAATAGACATCAGTATAAATTAGTTATTCTAAGTATGTGATAGGGATTCTGTAGCAGCATCACATTGTTGCTAGAGTTGCTGTATTGGAATTCTGTGGAGCGTAACCCAAATGTTTTAGCTGGTTGAAGGGACATCAATGACTTTTTTTCATTGTTCAACTTTTTAAGAAATTTATGTATTTTTACTTGGGCTCTTTAAAGATAAAATGGACTGTTAGTTTATTTTCAAAAGTGTACTTTAATCCTAATTTAACCTCATAAAGTTGGCTTGTAAGAAGAAATTTGCACTCACTTATATATTATAATTTGGTCATATATCTTGTCACTGTGAAATTTCCAATCGCCCTCTTATGTCAAGAATTCAACATCTCGACTATGACTAGATATTTGTTAGTGGTTTGATAGTAGGATGGTAGTAGGTGGCCCAAATTGTGCAACAAACCTCGCTTGGATAGATTTTGATATCATATTAAAAAGTAGACTTTAAGTTTAACTCTCCCTCATAAAATCAGTTTGTAAGTAGATGTTTGCATCTACTTATATATTATAATTTAACCATATCTCTAGTTGATATGTGATCTCTAAAAGTTTGTAACTATTAATAGAAACAAGTTAGTTTTTATCGTTTATATTGTCATCACATGTAAGTCATTTTGTATAGCTGTAGGTTTTATTAATGAGTTACTTGGTACAGCTATCAGTCAGTATACAACTTTCAGTAAGCAATGCCTATAAATACATTTTTGTACTCATGTTTCCACTGAAATGCGATAATAAAAATTTTCAGTTCATGTTCAACTCATCTTCTCTAATTCTCTCTTTAGATAGAGTTACACAAAGGTTACAAACATCTATCATCTAGTGGCAGAATACATATTTCAAAGAATATTATTATTAATGAACATAGATTTCCTTTTCCTGATCTTTTTCCAAATACACCAAATTTTGTCAAAGATCTTAGTCAATATTTTAAGTTCAAATCTGACAACCTCAACAGCCTTTAAATCCTTTGTCTAGTACTTCCATGACACCTGATTTTAGTGTAACTTCATCTATACTTGTGTAACTCCATCTATATCTAATACTGTTCCTAACACAGTTAACTCATCTTCTTCTAATTCAGTCTCTCATATTGCACCCCAACTTAATACTCATCTTATGCATACTAGATCTAAATCTGGTATTTTCAGAACAAAATTCATCGCTCTTTGTTACTATCTCATTCTAAACCTACCAGTGTGTCAAGTAAGCACTTAAAAATGCAAATTGGTTGGCTGCAATGCATCAAGAGTATGATGCCCTTATAAAGCAAAAGACTTGGGATGTGGTACCTCTACTGTTAGGTTTCTGGGTATGAAACCTAACTATGAACGCTCCCTCACACACTCTGAAAGCACACATAGATAACGAAAGAATAGGTTTCTTGTATTCAAATGGGTATGATACACTCTACAGGCACTCAACTGGGAGCCTAACAACCCCCACAGGACCAAAGGTTCCTGTCAAAGTCTATAACTATCAAAACGTATCTATAACAATACAATAATTCTATTTATACAAGTCACTTCCCGCCCATCCTAACTAACTCTTTCTTCTATCCTACACCCATTATATCCTATTACTTTATATCCTATCATTACACCTCGTTGCAGAACAATCTTGTCCTCAAGGTTGGAACCGTGAAACTTGATCTCCTGGCTCCTCTTCATCATCGTGTTATCATATGAAGGAAACCCACTGGCTACTACCTGCAACTTCAGGTCTGGAGGCTTGGGTGGTGGCAAATCCTCCTCCAATGTCTTCCATTCTTCCTTGATTCTCTTAACTTCCAGCGTTCTGGTCACCTCTTTTCCGGAATCATAAGCCCGGAGAAAATGGTCTTCGATGTCTATCAATGCTTCAAGCAGCTCTCTCCCCTCTGCAGGTGTATCAAAAACTGCAAGCCTCCTTTGCTCCCCTTGGTTCTCGGTGGCCACATTCCCCACCTTCACTGTTTCAACATCACTTAGCGCTTGCTCCGCAACACCTTCACTGTTACTTTTATTATTATTATTATTCTCTTCAACCCTCACCACGACGTGCTTAACCTCTTCTCTTTTCACCCACGGAAAGAATGGTTTATCCTCACGCTCTTCTTCATGGCTGTCCTCTTGCCTTTGTTCAAGTTTGGGCTTTTGAATGTGGTGCCTGAACTTACTTCGTTGCCCTTTTCTTTTGGACCCAATTTCCACGGGGGCGTCAAGCACATCGTTCCCTGCTTCGGTATCACTCTCGGGATCAACCATGCCCCGCTCCTCACGCGCCCTCACAACGCGTTCGACGGCCTCAATCAATTCGTAATCGAAATTCGACAACAACTTGGCTCCAACTGCGGCGCTTCCCTTGAAGCGGTCGTAATCAGAGAGCAACACATGCCACTTGCGGCGACACTGAGCGAGGTTGCACTGCACGTCCAAGGCCACGCAATTCTGGGTGATGATGTTCCACTGCTGGTAGGAGGAGAGCGCGATGGAGCAGTCGGCTTCCATCGCTGCGACTTCGTTCACCAAAATGAGCGAATCGATGATGCTCCAATCCGGAGCTGCTTGGGAGCGCATGCAACGAAACACGCTAGCCGTACCTGAAGCGTCGATGACGTCATCTTCGTAAATCTTCATTTCTTTTTGCCCTCCAAATCGCACCACCATAGCTTCCTTCAGACCTTTCCAAGAACGATTCTTTGCTTTAGCCTTCCAAGCCCGGACCCAATACCCAACACTTCCCTCCATGCTAATGTATGCCAGGCCCACTTTTTCTTCCTCTATCACCCCCTGAGTCTCAAAAATTTTCTCCGCCCCAGCAATCCACTCCATAGGATCAAACCCTTCGAAACTGGGTAGTTCTACCCCTTTTACCCAATTAGGTTGGGCGTCTCCTCGGTCTTCATCCCGTTCCTCCTTCGAGATCTCTCTTCCCCTTCTCCGATTCTCGTTAACCGAATGTTGATCTTCCTCTGAACAATCTTTCTTTCCTTTCATGGCAGATTCATCACTTCTTGTTGAGCCCTTTATCTGAATCTTGATATTCTGCATCATTTCTTTTATTTCTTGGGTAGTTCTTCTCCATTCTGCTAGCACTCTTTTCTGTTCGCTGGCCCACCTCTCCACAGTATTGATTCTTCCTTCCAAAGTATTGATTCTTCCTTCCATCACGTTCTTCTCTCCAAGGGATCTGTTCTCTCACAATTGGATTCGGCAGGTCGGACCAATTTGTTAGGTTTCTGGGTATGAAACCTAACTATGAATGCTCCCTCACACACTCTGAAAGCACACACAGATAACGAAAGAATAGGTTTCTTGTATTCAAATGGGTATGATACACTCTACAAGCACTCAACTGGGAGCCTAACCTTCCCCACAGGACCAAAGGTTTCTGTCAAAGTCTATAACTGTCAAAACGTATCTAAAACAATACAAGAATTCTATTTATGCAAGTCACTTCCCGCCCATCCTAATTGCTAAAGCAGTTAGGATATTAAGTCTTTCTTCTATCCTACACCCATTATATCCTATTACTTTATATCCTATCATCTACCCTCTAATAGAAAGGTTGTTGGCTGTAAATGAGTTTTTCAAGCCAAGAATATTGCATATGGAAAATAAATAAGTATAAAACTCGTCTTGGGACAAAAGGTTTTCATCAAGTTCGTGGTTTTTATTTTCATGAAACTTTTTCTTAATTTTTCATGAAACAATTAGAAATATTCTTATTATTGCCTCTCATGGATGGAAATTGTTTCAACTTGACGACAATAATGCTTTTCTCGAATGTTCGATCTTGATGGCAATAACCACTTGGTTTTGAAGCGAATGACAAGTCTCTTGTTTGTATGTTAAATAAAGTACTATATAGTTTAAAACAATCACCACAATAATGGTTTAATTGTTTGCAAACTACTTTTTGATAATTTGGATTTGCAGTAGCACATGCAATTTTTCTCTTTTCGTCTACAGAGAGCCATTAGCAATCATCTATTTTTGGTTTATGTTGTTGATATTATCATAATTGACAGCTCCACTACTCCGATCCAGCATATTACAGCCAAACTTTGCAAAACTTTTTCTTTTAAACAACTTGATTACTTTCTTGGTCTTGAAATTAAATATTTACCTGATCAATCTATTCTTATGCCTCAAACAAAATTTATATACAAGATTTGCTTCATAAAACACATATGTGTGAAGCTCATTCGAATTCTTCTCCTATGGTTTCTAATTGCAAGTTGTCCAAATATGGTGTTGATATGTTTTCAGATCCTACTTATATCAATTAGTCATAGGTACTTTACAGTATACCGCTCTTACTATACTTAGTTTTAATGTAAACCAAGTTTGTCAGTTTATAGCCAAACCACTTGATTCTCATTGTGTTGTGGTAAAATGTATATCGAGAGATCTTAATGGAACTTTATTTCATGGATTACATATTCAATTTGCTTTACTTGATCACCCTTTGTCTTTAAAATCCTATTGTGATGCTTATTGGCCATCAGATGTTTATGATTGAAGATCTACTTCATGAGCAACAATCTTTCTTGGTCCTAATTTGATATCTCGGTGGTCCCGAAAGCAGCAAGCTATTGCTCATTCAATTTCTTCTCGTATGGTTTCTAATTGCAAATCCTACTTTATATCAATCAATAGTAGGTGCTTTACAATATACCACTCTTATTAGACTTAAAATTAGTTTTGTTGTAAACCGAGTTAACCACTTGATTCTCATTGTGCTGTGGTAAAATGTATATCAAGATATCTTAATGGAACTTTGTTTCATGGATAACATCTTCAATTTGGTTCACTTGATAACCCTTTGTCTTTAAAATCATTTTGTGATGTTGTTTGGGCAATCAATGTTGATGATAGAAGATCTACTTCATGAGCAACAACCTTTCTTGGTCCTAATTTGATATCTTGGTCTCGAAAGCAACAAGTTATTCCTCCTTCTAGTATTGAAGCAGAGTGCAAAGTTTAGCACAAACCTCTTCTGAGCTAGAGCTGTCATGGATTACTACATTGCTTACTGAATTACAAATTTCTTTCACTACTTATTCTTTTATGTGACAATCAGAGTGTTGTATCTATTGCTAACAATTCAGTATTTCATAATCTTGCTAAGCACGAGTAGATTGATGTTTTCTTTGTTAGAGAGAAGGTTATGGCCAACTATGTATTTGTCATATTCTAGCTCTTGATCAATGGGAAGATATTCTAACCAAGCCTTTATCTGCATTTCGTTTTATGTTTCTTTGGAGCAAAGTCAATTAAAGAATTTTTCTTCAGAAAAATCTTCTTCTCCTTGAGTTTGAGGGAGGATGTTAGTAGAAACAAGTTAGTTTGTACAGTTTATATAGTCATCACATGTAAGTCATTTTGTACAACGGTAGGTTTTATCTAGTTGATGTGAGACTTCCAATAATTAAACTTTTGTAACGAAAGGGGATCTTTCTTTTTACCAGGTCCTTGGGCTTTACATTATGATAACCCATGGATGAAGAGTGGGGATTGTTGATGTTATTGGGTGTGGTAAGGAAGGTGAAAAGGAGGGAGCAAAGGTTCATGATGATTGGGTATTAAATTTGTGTAGCGCATTAAGATGTGTTACAAAATTTGTGAATTTGGGTTTATGGTCTAAGTCAACCATACAAAACTAATTTCTAAAGTGAGGATTGCCTAAGCCTTGTAGGAACTGTATTGGTAACATGTCTCTAGTCGATGTTGAATCTCGGCACATGTTCTAGTTGAAATTTATTATACTATTTTTTTGCATTAAGTTATTTCAACGTTATCCTTTGGTTTTTTTTTTTTTATTTTATAAAGCATGCAAAATTTGCTGCGTTGTAGACATGTAGCATCTCTTGCCTTGTATACAAGGAAAATGCTTTTGGCCATGAGGCATGGCAATGGATCTAGTGTTTGCATCCTCTACGGACATCATAATTCAAAGGTTAGTTTGTGCACAATTTCTTGTCCTATTTACTTTTTTATATGCAGGGTGATTTTTAGTTATTTGTGCTTTAATAGTTGTACTAGAGTTTAGAGTGATTTTAGAAAGTGTTTTGTATTTTGAAGAATGAAAAACAACCTTACATAGATCATAGATTCAATTATATATAGTTGTACAAATAAGCATCAGAGAACTAACTAACTGATAGAGAGTCATAACACTAACAAGTTTTTAGAGTACATCTCTACTCTAATACCCCTCTAGTTCATGAGAAGGGAAGAATCAGCCAATAAGAAGTGAGTTTAATGCTAACTTATCCTCACAAAACCAATTTGTAAGGTGAAGCCACTTTGAGCTTAGACCTTAGAATAATAAATAAGTAGTAAATAAGGCTTTAGTGAGGAATCAAATGTGGGAACATGAACTACTTACATGTTCTTGTTGATGACCCACTCTTGAACAAAAGAGAGATATAGTATCCAGTATTGCATAAGAAGAGTATGTAATAGTTGATTATGCGTTAGAGCTATAGTGCTCAAGTTGTCATAGGGAGTTGGAAAAGTATTATTGGAGTCCATGATGTTTTAGTTCTGGCAAGCACTAAGTTGTGATATTCACTTCAAGTAATGGGTTGAGCAACTGCAATTTTCTTCTTGGATTAGTTGACATATCATGTCCATATTGTGAAACCCTCAGGAAATTATTCTACAAGCATGTTCCCATGTAGCCTCTTCTGCAAGTTGTTCCTCTTGTTGAACATTGAGATGTTTTTTCTCCTTGCTGCATATATTATTTGATATGCCTTTTCATCTGGAAGTCAGGACAACACTGCAAAACAGCGTAGGAATATACTTACTTTGGTTATTGTTTTCTAAATAAAAAAGCACTCATTGCCTTAGACATACGATGCATGGAACCAATTAATACTTTTTTATTTTTCACCCAGAAATTGCATCATGAAATGGGACCGATAATTTCATTCAACATGGAACTGATAATTTCATTCTCTACATCCATCTTTGGTAACATGCAACCAATTAATACTTCTTTACTTTCACCCAGAAATTGCATCATGAAATGGGACCAATAATTTCATTCAACTTGAAACGGCCGGATGGCTCTTGGTATGGATATCGTGAAGTGGAAAAGCTGGCGTCACTTTCAACAATTCAGCTAAGGGTATAAATTATGATTCTCTTCTTGTTAATGTTTTCTTTTTATAAATTCATGTAATCATGGTAATAAACTATTTGTTTATTTGTATTTTTTCCATTCTTTTATATTAAGGAGGATACTGTTTGAATTCTGATTATTTATCTTCACTGGCTATCTGTTTAGACAGGATGCTTCTGCAATCCAGGTGCATGTGCAAAATACCTTGGCTTGACTCATTTGGATCTTATTTCAAATACTGAGGTATTTCTACATATTCTGTTACTCACTAACAATCAATATCGATGTAATGAGTGTATACCATAGTTCAATAGTGCTAACCTAGTTAGTATTATCGAATGTATGGTGATGTTGTAGCATTCTTATTTTCATTAAAAATAATAGTATGACAGATGACGATTTTTTTTTGTATTTAGGCTGGCCACGTTTGTTGGGATGATCATGATATAATCAATGGTAAACCTGTTGGTGCTGTAAGAGTATCCTTTGGCTACATGTCAACATATGAGGATGCCAAGGTTGGGAATCTCTAGACCATTTTGAAGTTTTTTCAACCTTTGGAAACATTGACCCCCATCTGGTTCTGGATTCATTTTTTGTTGTATTCATGAGTAAAACCTATACTTTAAAAAGAAACACCTATACTTAATATGGAAAAGGGGGCAACATATTGATTTTGGATAAGGTTCATTTTTTAATAGGAAATCAAAGACTATGTTCTTACAAATTTCTTATTTTCCTTGATATTGGATTAAGTTCACTTCTCACGATTTTGGTTACCCATTTGACAAAACTAATTTTGTTATACCGTCTGTTTTTCAGAAATTTGTTGATTTTGTTGCAAGTTCCTTTGTGTCACCTCAAAATCACATTGACCATGGAAATCAAATGAAAGGTCAACATCCTTTTCCAAATTAATTTATTCTCCATAGTTGGTGAATTCACATCCTGTTGGTTATGTTCATCAAATGACAAGGACTTGCACTTTTATTGCTTTTGTACTTTTGCTATTCTCCTTCCCACATGAAAAGGCACACGCAGATTTGTGTACATGAATATAGTGCATACTTTAATGCAGCTACTTAGTATGCTTACTTAACAATTTTCAGCAAGAGATTCTCCATAGTAAATACTTATGTGGGTCTTCTAATATCTTTAGGAAGTCTGTTTAACTGATATCAAAAATTTTAAGCTGTTGATTATTTTTCTTTTATGCGAGGGCAAGGCTTGGCACAATGGTAAATATTTGCCTTGTGTTCGGAGGTCATGGGCTCAAATCATGGAAATAACCTGTCTGCTTTTGGGGGTAAGGCCTCATACATCTACCCTCCCCGAACCTCACTTGGTGGGAGCCTCATGTACTGGGTTGCCTGCTTTTTCTTTTATGGGTAGTAGTCACCTAAATCTTCTGGCTGGGTCCAACAGTGGTCATCATGATTCCATGAACTTTATTATCTTCTCCAACATTCCTATTGTTGAATCCATTGAAAATCAAAGACAATTGCAAGTGAAAAAGACAGGCACTAGAAAACAGGCACAGAAGATTACCACAAGAAGGAACACCCTAGAAAACAGTCAATTAGAAGGAAGAACACCAAGTGGCTCCAAATAGATGAGTTTCCTAAATCAGATCAGACCCATTGGAACTTATCAAACAGACCCAGATTATTATTAGAATGTCACACACCATTGAAAAGCACCCTATTAGAGGTAAAAAAAAAATAAGGAAGCCAAATAGCAAGAAATAGACCACTATTTCCCACAAAGCTGTTTCAACTTCTAGAAAACTTTCAGGTTGAATATTTTGCGGAAGAAACAAGTTGGATGGTGTTGGGAATTAGGGTCCATCTGTGTGCAAGACATTGATTTTGGACCCTACAGCATGTAGACCAACTATTTTTTGGATTCACAGTACTTGATGCAGCCAGTTAGAAACTGGACTAGGCCTAACTCAATTCCAAAAAGGTAGTTAAGAGAGGTTGGGGTTCAAGCCTTATATAACTAGTGTCTTGCCTTATTTCTAACTAATATGGGGTTTCTTAAGAGAACTGCTACCAAAGAATGTACATCTCGATTGGAGTATGAAGGTTACAGGACTAGACATGTGAATGACCTGATATTAAAACTAGAAATGCTTTGATGCCATACTAGAAATGAATGGATAACTAGAGGTAGAGGTAGCCTATGAAATATTCATCTAAAGGAGTTCCAAATTAAATCACTTTTTTGAAGAATTAGTTATGGATAGATACAATGGTGTCATTTGATTTATGTAGCTTACCTGTCTATTGGGAAAAGACTAGATTTTGTGTATAAAAAGCTTATGTCTCGATTGCTTCATACACTTCCTTGGGCAATGAATCTTTATATAATTTCCTCTAAAAAATTCTACTTGAATTTGCATTCAAGAAAGAGATACTAAAGGAGACAATAACGTTCCTTACAAAATTTCAACATCTGGAGCCGTATATCAAATTCAAATTTTTTATATGTATTTGTTAATCATCAATGAACTTATTAATTATTGTATTGCTGTTGTCAGATAAAAATCTAGGATTATGTTCAAAATATGTTGTTAAAAGCCTTGTAGCACATTATTTTCACAGTATAATTATGCTTTTACTGTTTTAGATGGACATGTACTCAGTTGATCACCTGCAGGTGTAGACAATGGTTTTGTGGATACTGGTTATTATCTCAAATCAATTACAATATATCCAATAAAATCTTGCGGAGGTTTCAGTGCAAGGAGTTGGCCTCTTAGCAGCAATGGTAATTTTTTCCTGATTTTACAAGGCACATTTACAATTTTGTCAATTTCAATAATAAGAAAGTTAAAGAAAGAACAACCAGAAACTGTTGAAATTGAAGGATTTTGGTAAACAGAGATGAAAAATAACAATCAACAATAAAATATTATTGAAATTATTGTCAGAACATGCAACAAAACAAATGAATGAGATTAGAATCTCCATATGACAAAGGTCAAAGGAGAGATTGACACTAATAAACTTCATTTGGAAACAAAAGTTTGCAATGTTTCAGAACAATTTGTAGAACACGATTATTTGGGTGGCCAAGCCTATTGTGCCATACATAAACACTGTTATCTACAAAATTCTTCTTGTGTTGTTAGACCTGTCACTATTTGCCTTATTATTACTATTGTCCTTACCTCTAATTGGGAATTATTTCAATTGGGTGTTAACATTGCTCTTTATTGGAAGTCTTGTATCAGCTAGAGATAAATCCAAGTTACAATATATAAATAAGTTCAAACCTTACTTTACAAGCAAGATTTGTAGGATTGAGTTAGGCTTAAAATTTATTTTCAATATGATATCAGAGTCATGGGTTAGAGCCTATCTTAGTGAAATTTGTTGTTTGTTAGGTCTATTGTTCTATGCTTTATCGGGTGGCTATCGGACCATCCATTAATATCTAGTCTCATACTCGATATGTATATATTTCAGTGTGAAGGAGGTATGTTGGAAGTTTCAAATCGACTAGAGATAAGACCAATTTACAATATATAAGTGGATGCAAACCTCATTTTATATGTTGATTTCGTAGAGTTGAGTTAGGCTTAAAGTTTATTTCTTAACACTTTTCTTAATGGTCTTTTATAAGAGACAATTTACATGGTGCAACCTCTTGGTTTTGAAAATTCTAATAAATTTCTTGTCTGAAAGCTCAACAAGGCTATTTATGGACTTCAACAGGCACCTTGGACTGGTTTGGTTGACTCAAATCTACCCTTCTTCAGTTTGGGCTTATAGCATGCAAATGTGATCCTTCTTTGTTTGTCTAGAGACCTCATTCTCACACTATTTTTATTCTAGTGTATGTGAATGATATCTGTATTATTGGCCGTTCATTGTCATCATTCAGCAAGTTATAGCGCATCTTAATTCTACTCTCTCAAATAACTTGGCCACTTGGACTATTTCCTGGGCATTGAAATCGAGCAGTTACCCAGTAAATCTCTTCTTCTGACTCAAAGCAAGTACATTTACAACCTTATTCAAAAAAACCAACTCTTTCTCTAAGAGTTAGAATACACTACGGTGCTTGACTATATGGGCTTATTGGGAATGCTGCAGATGATTGATATGATGGGGTCCTAACGTAGTCAGTATATTGATGGGGTCCTTACTTTTTGATTATAAAAATATAGACGTATTGCATTCATTACGCATGATAAGAGCATGTTTTGTTTCTCCTAAATGAGATATTTATGCCTATAAATTTGATTTAGTACATGATTCAGAATATTATAACCTGATTCTCAACACTAAATTAGTAGAGGTAGTAACCAACTAAAAATAAAACAAAGAACATTCCATTTATGGAGTAAAACTACTTTAATAGTTTCTGATTTCATTTTTTCAATCTACAATTTCGTATAGCTTTTGACAACAGTATCTTTGAATTTTTTGCAGGCCTCACCTATGATCGCCAGTGGATTCTTAAAAGCCCAACTGGTGAAATACTTACCCAAAAAAAGGTAATCTTTTTTTATGGCAGACAAGATCTAAAATTTAGATAATCTGTGGATGCAGGATGCAAACTTTGGGAACTGTATTTTTTCTTTTTTCTCAGTTTTGGTTTGGTGCTTCAATTTGGTTGATTTTTTGGAAATACAGTGTAAGTGAATTCACAACACTGGGACTCTTTTCTCATGGGAGTTAGTTTATGCCATTAACAACAATTAAAAGGAACTAAAACGAAGGGTTGATAGATATTTACGACTTCAGGAATGTTTTGAATTCAAACTCTTAATTGTATTATAGATCAATGAAAATCTGAATGTTTGATATTATCATGTACATAAATAGAGTGAAAACGATTTAGTTGTGTTTTCTGGAATTCACAAATTAAAGTCTTATTTTATTTTACTGATTTAAATATTCTGATTTATTAGGCTAGTATTAAATATTCTGTAATTTAGTAATCAATTTGTGATGTTGACATCAAATCAGGTAAATTTTTGTGATTTCCTTTCTAGTTGCAACCTGTCATTGTGGTTCTTTATTTTTAAGAGGGATTGAACTTAAGTATTTTTAAGATCTAAAGTAGGGGTAATAATAAGGGTTGGAAAGTATATGAGCAGAGAGAATATTTAGTATAAGTTAATTAGAGTAAATAAATATAGTATAAGTTAATTAGAGTAAATAAATATAGTATAAGTTAATTAGAGTAAATAAATATATATTTAGGGAAATATTCAATATAAGATATTTATAATTAAGGATATATGCTAGGATAATATACGGAGAGATATTTATATTAAATATAGGGATATTTATATTAAATATTAAATATAGGGATATTTATATTAAATATTAAATATAGGAATATTTATATTAAATATTAAATATAGGGATATTTATATTAAATATATTCTAGAGAAATATTTAATAAAAGATGGGCGGGAAATAATTAGTATAAATAAAGTTAGAGTCTAGGGTTAAAGACAGGCTTTTGATTATTGAGTTTTGTGACAGACATTATTGTCTTGTGAGGGAGGTTATGCTCCCAAAGTAATTGAAGGAGGTTATGCTCCCAATTATTGTTTACCATTGTTTATTCAGATATTACCATCAATAAAAGAGATTCATTCATCCATTGTTATTAGTTTATTGTTCTATTACGTGTGTGAGAGTGTGAAAGGGTGTATTTGGCTAGTTTACGTACTCAGGTACGTAACAGTATTGTTATTTAATAATATAGACAAAATATTCTCTGAGGGTATCAACATTAAAAAAATGTGTAGGAAACACTTGTAAATATAAATATTTGAGATTATCTCGTGTGTCCTTGTACTCTGTCTACCCAAAATGTCTAGGACCACAATTGTACCGAGGAAAGAAAATTGTATATTGGGTGAATTGATTTTTTCCCAGGTGTCCTGTATATGTTTGATCAAAGACCAATACAATTTATATAATTTAAAATCCTGATGCATTTAGAAGTAACCTAATAACCTGGTTACAACTAAGCGACTCAGTCAAAATGTCATAAAGCTGCTGTCCCATCCTTGCGTGAAATGTGGAAATAAGGTTTTGTTGGAGTCTTTCTTGGAAAAAAACTGTGGCCAACCTCAGTATGCTCCATCCTCTAATGAAATCAATTTCTTCAACTAATTGTTGTGACCATTTCAACTCTCAAGCAGTTTGATCAAGGTCTATATTTCAAGTTTATCTTTTGGAAATCAGTTTACCAGTACCATCAACAAAAAGCAATAGCTTATATTTAACCTCCTACCCTAGGGACACATAGTCCAATATTCACCAAAGTGTTTAAGGAATTTCCATAATATTGATTCATGCGTGCTAAAACAATGTTCTATGAAACTAAATGAACAAGACCCAAATCCTCTTTCGATGATGAATACAAATACTTCAATGACGAAACATATGATGTCTTGTTGACTTTGATTCACCTGACTATACAAGGTCCTTCATAATTATGTGTTTTCTGATCTCTCAAGTGCATGGAAAAAAGATAAGTTTAAAGAGACATTGTGGAATAACATACCCGTTAATGACATCCACCCCCCAAGAAAAAAAGGCCTTTTCAAATTCGTTATGTTTCAATTGCATGGTCAAACATACACATTGTTGTATTCCACAAAATTCTGAAGAAATATTTGTTAATTCCTAAATGCATTCTTATTTTTCTCCACACTATATTTTTAAGCATTGGCTATAAACATCCGAGTTGCTTTTTCTATCAAAAGATGGAAGTTCTTAAGCATAACTTTGTCGTTTTGGAATCTTAGCTATGTTAGCATCCCTAATAACAGCAATCAGTTGCAAGTGGGGAGGCTAGGTCAAAACCCAAAAGAAAGCCTATAATGTTGGACACTTAACTTTTAATCAATTTGGTTGCTTCTGAGTATAGATTTTCCTTTTTGGTAATAAAAAGTTTAGAATTGGAGGATGCTCTACCCATTCCTAGCCTTGGTAAATGGCCATGCATGACAAGGATATACACTTTGAATCTACAATTTTTAGATATTCATTCATCTAATTTGCTTGGCGACCCATGCATGTAATGTTTATACACTTGTTAATATTTGTTGGAAGTCCCACATCGACTAGAGATAAAGCCAATTTATAATATATAAGTGGGTGCAAACCTCACCTTGCAAGCTGGTTTTGTAGGGTTGAGTTAGGTTTAAAGTCCTCTTCTTAGCATGGTATTAGAGCTATGGTTAGAGTCTATCCTAGCGGTATTTGTTGTTTGTTAGGTGTATTGTTCCACCCGCTATCAAACCACCCATTAATGTCTAGTCTCATGTTTGAGATGTATATACCTCGGCGTGAGGAGGTGTGTTGGAAGTCCCATATCAACTAGAGATATAAGTGGGTGCAAACCTCATTTTATAAGTCGGTTTTGTGGGATTGAGTTAGGTTTAAAGTCCACTTCTTAACAATACTTATTCATCATGTCTATATGATGCTTATGTGAATTTAGGTACTAAGCTAACATTTGTAGTGTTGTTACCTTCACCAATCTTTAATGATGATGTTCTATCCAACTCTGTCTATCCCTCGCTTTGAATTGTGTTGCTTGTTTACTTAGCTTTTACTTTTGAGGATGATGGTTATTGTTAAGTTTTGACTTGTTTGATCTGAATTTTGTGTAGGTTCCTGAAATGGGCTTTGTAAGCACCTTAATAGACCTTAGTCAGGGAATTTTGTTTGTAGAATCTCCACGTTGCAAAGAAAGGCTACAAATTACACTTGAGTCAAATGTTTATGAGGACGCTATAGAGGATATTGAATTATATGGTCAGAGGTATACAATCTTATATGCATAATTAATTTTCTATGTATGCTAATTAAATTGGACTCTTGCAAAGATGTCGATGAACATACTTTTACAAATATATGATTGTGCTTGAGAAAGTTCTTGGGATTGCGAATAAATTGAGTAGTTGAGTAAGTTACTATTCACTTTTGAATTGGTTGTGATTATAAGGCGGAAAAGGTGGTTCTAGTTCCTAAATACATTCTAAGAACAAAAAGTAGCTATGTAAGTGATTTTGAAAATGAATTGGTACTAATTTGGGTAGGCATTTAAATACTATATCCAGGACTCTTCCTCAAGTTGAAACATAAATGGTCTAATCTTGGAACACATACATTGAATTCTTGATTGTCAGACAACTTTTGTGAAAATATTACTACAAATACAAATTTTGGAAAATTAATTGCTACAATTTTAATCTTTTATTTTATTATTAGAATTCACAAATTTAGTGACACCTTTTTGGAGAACTTTCTTGCGAGTAAAATGAAAAATCAATTGCAGTATGTTAGGACACTAGAGTGGAGATATGGATAGAGCCACTTCATTATTATGGCATAATTTCATTTTCCAAGTGTTTCCAAATTTCAATTCTTGAAGTTGTTTAATCCAAATGAACTTACACGTGGTTGTAGTAATATTCCTATATTTTACTTCTACACTATATGTGTAAAAAAGAGTATAAAGCTCCGAGCAAAACACACACACACACATATATATATCAAATTATTTCCAGAGTAATTTTAAGAGACTTACTAAGTCAACCATTCATTTTCTCTTAATTTAGTTGTTAAAAATGAGTTACATTCTAGAACTATCAGATTAGGGAAAAAAATGAAGGGTCAAGATGGAGAGTAGTCTCTTCAAGTTACTTTGGAGGCAATTTGAACCCTCCTTTATATGTATGTTTGTATAATACTATTTCCTATGGAAAAGGGGGATACATGAATATGAAAATACATGAACAGGTGTGTAGTTTCTAAAGCCCTTTTAATGTAAGTAATCAGATCATTGCACCCGGTGATCATAATAGTGAGGTGGGTGATTATTCAATCAATCTTTGTTATCTTTTTTGGACGCTCTTTAAAAGTGGATCAAAGAGTTAGAAGAAGGGAAGATTATATTGTGATCCTTGATTGCTTTGGCCTATCCTTAAAACAAGCTTAGTCGTATGTAGTTAGCTCAAGATGCTTCTTGACCATCTGAAGAGTGTTGGAAGACATTACTTTCAGACTCTTGAATATTCTTATGTATCTTATGGGAGATTTCATTAGTTTCGTACATACACGGGCTTTGATTAATTGAATATAAGGGTATCTCATGAAGCTTAGTAGTTTGTCTTGTAATTGGAAAATATTTTCTATTCTAAGCTTTAAGAAGTTAATAACATGTTATACAGAGTCAATTTTATTTTGGTCTCATAATTAATTTTTTTTTTCACAGGTACGAGGTATATAGTTATGACAATGAGACCAATGCATGGTTTAGCGAAGCCATTGGTAGAACTTGCTCTTTGTTAAGGTATTCTAGTTTCAATCAAGATTTTATGTTAAAAAAAATCAAAGGTGCAGCCACATGTAGAGATATGAAGAACAAACTTAATTTTGCCAATGAAGCACAGTTCTTACTTGTCTCTGAAGAAAGTGTGTGCGATCTAAACAGAAGATTAAGCTCAGGTATCCCATTTTCTGATATAGTATACCTGTCCTTGTCTTTTGTTGTTTTAATTTCATTACAAAATGTAACGGAAGATTTTAATAACTGTTTGCCAATTATAAAAAATTCTTTCATGATGCATGATGGATTCCTGTTTTGCTGATTGGTTTGATTATTTGATATTCATAATAATGCAAAGGGATTTTAATATAGTCAACAAAGTGGAAAGACATTTAAAATTCTTTAGAAAATATTAAGTTTTCTTCTCGATGTATATCACAAACTATATATGACTAATGTTTAATTTGCTTCCTTCTCTCGGCTTTTCATGTTTTATAGATTAGAGTTCTTTTATATTTTTTACTTTATATTTGTAAGGATCCAATTGCATGGTATGCAACTTGGATCCCACATTGGAAGTATGGGATTTTTGTGTAGGTTTACATGGCCTAGGGCTATCCCACTACAATGGTTAATTTTTGTGATATGTTCTCTCAGTTTGTATCACCTTTTCCTTTAACCAGGATGGCAGATTGTTTGCTTATAAATACTAGCTCTTTTTGGTGAATATATAAATACTAGGTTAGATTTTATTATTTAGTCAATATATGCTTTAATAACACTACAAATTATGTAGAGTTTCGTTTTACAATATGTGGAAAGATCCAAAAACATGGTATATCGCCTTATGGATATCACCTCAAGTTTTGCAACAAAGTAACACCAAGAGGTTAGCTCTAATACCAATTGAAGTAACATGCTAACTCTAGAAGGAGGGGAAAAGAGGAGGGAGAGTTGAATAGGGTCTAATACTTTTTGTGCAAAAGCTTTTGCGATATTGATAACAATTGGTAGTCAGTCTAGAGACAAACATCTATACCTTCTACAAAAGATAAAAGAGACTACAAGTAGTTGTTCATTCCAACTTTAAGCTACATCCGATCCTCCATTAAGAAACTTTTAAAAGGTTCTACCATAATCCTATTGATCACAAAATGAATACACAACATCACCCCTAGTAAAACACGAGTGTACAACGTCACTCTTTGCATACCAAGTATTTTTGATTGTCACTTCTCACTACAAAGGTATGTGAACAACTAAAGGAGTCAACTCATAGAGGATGTACAATTTACCCTCCAAACAAGGATTTAATTTCAGTAGGTGAAGGACATGACAATGACTTTTTTCTTGCATATATCCTTCTTAAGATGATTGTATTGCTTGAAGGATCCTTTTTCTTATATCTGATTGTTGTGCAAGATTCTTGTGTCTTTTTCTTTGAGGTCTTTATCTTTTATAGGTGTTTAAAAATGGATTTTAAGCCTAACTTAATCCCACAAAATCAACTTGTAAGGTGAGGTTTGCTCCAACTTATATATATATATACGTACATACATACATACATATATATATATATGTATGTATGTATACATATATTCTAAATTTGTTTTATCTCTAGTTGATGTGAGACTTTTAACACACCCTCCTCACACTGAGGTATATACATCTTGAGCATGAGATTAAATATTAATGGGTGGTCCAGTAGCGGCTTGATAGCAAGTGAAACAATAGACCCAACAAACAACCAATTTCATGAGGACAGGCTCAAACCTATGACTATGATATCATATTAAGAAGTGAACTTTAAGTCTAACTCAACCCGACAAAACTGACTTGCAAGATGAGATATGCACCCACTTATATAATGTGAATTGGTCTTTTCTCTAGTCGATGTGGACTTCCAACACCCCCTTTCATGTTGAGGTATATACATCTTGTGCGTGAGATTAGACATTAATGAGTGGTCCGATAGCGACCAATAAACCAAACAAATAACAAATCTTGTTAGGATAAACTTTAACCTAACTTTGATACCATGTTCAGAGGTGGACTTTAAACCTAATTCAATCTCACAAAATCGGCTTGAAATGTGAAGTTTACACCCACTTATATATTTTAAATTGGTCTTATCTCTAGTCGATGAGACTTCAACAATAGACTTCATTGGAATGTGTATATTATAGTATCATTGTAACTTTTTATTATGTGTATTGAAGTCAGTCTTCTTGTGATCTTGATATCTTGGATATAAGACTGATAATCTTTGATTTTGTTCCAAGATACTTTTTGTAGTTTTTTTATATGATATCTATAACAAACAAGAAAGAGGTGAAAATACAGAACATATCACAAATAGTATATTTCCTTTTATATGGAGATGCAGTATTTAAGAAAGTGTGACAGCTGTTTGCACACGATTTGTTCCAGAAATAAAGCATGTAAGGATATTTATTTTAAATAGCTCTGGTTTTAGAAAGATACTAAAGATCCTTTCATAAAGATAGTGCATTTGACGTTTGATACACTAGATGATCATATAGATGATAGAAGGTATGTTTGTTGTTATGTATAGAGAATCCATTTTATTTACATTGTAAAATCTTATGTATTTCTGATTACGTTTGATTAGCCAATATTACTTCAAAACGTAATCTCCTTTGTTATCATAAAAAATGGTCGTTCAATATGTCTAGACTGTTTTAGACTAGACATCCGGGTCTCAACAGGGACCAAAGCAGATCGATAACCTATACAACACAAATAATTCATTTGAACCTTAAGGGTAGGAAGAAAACTTAACCACATTGAAAGGAAGGATCTATAATTGAAAAGATCCTTGGAAGTACCACACCATAAGTAATACATCAGACTTGATGACTTTAATAAAATATAAAGTCCCTAGGAAGATGCCTTGCAAAATTAAATCTACTCTTAGTATTCCACATAATTGCATGATAGGACAAAGTACATAAAGATATATCTACACTATGTCAAGGACAAACGACATACATCCATTTTTGGATGTCAATTGTTAGATATATTGACAAGAGACTTCCTGTGGAAGGCTGCTGAGATCTTATTAACATGCTAGGAATGATAAATATTCTTTCACAAGTTGAGAGATGTGTTATTTGTTGTTCCGTTTTCATGTTGTACAAATATTTTTTTCTTTTATAGTTTTTGTTTCTTCTTTTCCTTTACTTCCATTAATTAGTACAGTGGGTTTGTTTTATATTTATGAGGCTAGATTTTATTAGGTGTCCTATAAATGTTGAAATCCCTCGGTACAGATTATTCCAGTAAAACTAATATTGAAGTCTCATTTCTAGTCAAACTAATAGTTATATTGTTTTTAGTCTCTCAGCCCCAATATTTTGGAATATTAAATGTGTTTGCTAACTGTAATGATGTTAATAGATGTACAGAAGGGCATATCTGGAAAAGCAATGGTGCAAGTTAGTGCAAGTAGGTTTCGTCCCAATCTTGTGGTATCTGGAGGTAGGCCTTATGCTGAAGATGGATGGAGATACATTAGGATTGGAAATAAGCATTTCAGTGTAAGTTCAAATAACCTTCTATATGGCATGATAGAACAAATTTCTTATTATTGAAAAATTGGACATCGTAGATAACCCCTTTTGACTAACCTGAGCTACGCTACTTGCATTGATTAATGGTACTTACTTGAGCAAATTCATGGATTCATTTACTGCTAATGTAGCGATATGCAAACTAAGATATTTTAGGTGCCAATATGTCTATTTGTATTTCATCTTTGTATTCTTTTCTATGAGATTTTGGGTACACAATGTTTTATAACTAAAAAAAATGTAAATTTAAACCCAACTGAAACTAATGTGGAACTAGGGGAACCCAATAGTAGGTAACATGACCTAACATCTTATTAGTTAACAATTATATATCATAATTTAGTGTTATCTTTTAGTTAACGTTACAAGAGCGTTGTCAATTCTTGTTGGTATGTTGGATATCTATACACCAAACTTACAACGGCGTTGACAGGATATTTTAGAAAAAATTAACTTGAACTCTTAGGGATATTTCTAGAGTAAATTGATCTAACATCCCATGATGTCTTTTAGATTGCACAATAACCCTTCTTTTTGTCTCAACATTAACTCCCTTAATTGTTTAAAAAATAGTATCGTCATACCTCTTATACATTAAACAAACCCTAAAAGAAAGAGGATTATGTGCAATTTAGTCTTAATACTGATTCCCTGTAATTATGAGTTCTTCATGAAGGAATAGCTTGGAGAAATCCTAGTCATCCTAATTACAAAAAATATAAGAATAAGATAAAAAAGACAACATAATTCTTTTGTTTAATAATATATTTAATTTGATTTATTCATCAGTCGCTAGGGGGATGCAATCGATGCCAGATAATCAACCTTGCACTAAATTCGGGACAAGTGCAAAAGTCAAACGAACCTCTGGCAACTTTAGCATCCTACAGGAGGGTAAAGGTTGGCCTTTTTTTAATCCAGAATTCAGTTATATATTTGATTTTCTTGATACATCACTGTTCTAATATAAATATATCAAAACAGGGAAAGATTTTGTTTGGCATATTACTGAAACATGCTACTATTGATGGAGAGCAGCAACAAGGTGCTGATTCCTGGCTTCATGTGGGGCAAGATATACATCCGGATTAAAACACAAATACCTGCAAAATCATCTACTCAAACTCAAAAGCTTTAGTTCATGTGTCTGTATGTGAGAATGAACATTGTAAGAAAAACTCATATTCGCAATGCTGTCTATTGAAAACTGAAAATAAAAATAATCAATAAAGAACGTCAAGCTATGGGAAGAAACATGTTGGCTATCTTTGTTGTATTTCTTTTATTTTTTATTTTAATCAAACGTTTTTAAGATCAATAAAAATACATATATAATTTATCGATCTTAAAATTGACCATATGGTCAATGTTAATGATTTCAAACTTTAGAAATATGAAAAACAAAAAATGACCAAATACATTTAAGTCATAAATATAATATAAAAAGGGACATATAACATGAAAATTATTTTCTTAACAAACAAATTAATTTATCTTAATTTGAATTTAAATAAAGTGAAGAAATTAATAAATTCATTTATTATCAATGTAAATGGTCATGTACCTTAGACTAAAACAAAATGATGAAATTCAAAGACATGCTTAAAAAGAAAGTTAATTAATATCACACGCTGAAGTTAATTAATAAAATGTACTAACAATAGTAATATTAGAAAACATATTTCACTTGTGTTCTTAATAATAATAGCAGTAATAGAAAAGAATGACTATGATAAGAATATGAAGTATTGTCGTTGTCCCAATATATTTAAGAAAAAAAAGTTTGTCACTTTAAATAAAGACCATTTTCTAATCTTATGTTATTTATTCTTTTACAGAAATACTCTTAATTTTTTATAATAATTATTGAGATTAACTCATGACTTCTTGTTGTGGTACCTTGCCAATGTATCCTTCCTAATCTAATGTACCAAAATGAAAAAATAAATCTAATTAGATAAGAAGCAAGTAAGGGGAAGAATAAAAAGAAAGTATATCCCAACAATTTAAGTATATCCCAACAATAAAAAGAAAATATATAAAGTGTTAACAAATTTCATAACAAAATTAACTAAATTCTTTACACAAACACAATAACGTTTTTTTTATGTGCGTTATTGTAGGTCTGTAACTGAAAAGTGTAAATTTACATTTGATAAAGTTTTTAACGTAATTTTACGTCTATTCACTTAATAATATTCATAAATTTTTGTTTATATTTTTTATCTTTCTTTTATCAAAAATTTAATGTCTATTGTCTAAATGTTAGAAAATTGTGATAAGTTGTTTTTTATGTTAGTGTTTAATAGAATAGAATATGATAAAACAAAATGTAAAATTATATCTTCATACACAAATAATTTTATGAAAAAAAGTTCCATGTTAGCTCAAGAAAATTAAATTGTAGTTGTACATTAAACATATAATTACAATAAAAGTGTAACATATCTTAATTATTTTTAATAAACTATTGTGTAATTTGCCTTATTTTAACAGTTAACCGAAACTCATAAGTATAAAAAAAGTTGAATGATATTCTCATTGTATATAATAAACTTTTTATTTTATAGTCATTTCAAAATCAAATCTAACCTAATTAATAGATAATTAAGAAAATTATAGTGACGGGGCAATGGAAATTGAATAATTAAGAATTGTATACAAGTTCCGTTTCTTGACTTTTGATTGAATGGTTTTTCTGTTTCTGAATTTTGATTTGTAAACACAGAGATCCCTTCTTCAAAACCCCAACACAGGTCAGATCCCTCTTTTTTTCCATTTTCTTTCGTTTTCTTTCATTTTCTTTCGTTTTCTGATCTCAATCAAATGAATTGAATGTTTGTCAACGCATTGCAGAGAGGGANGTCTAATACTTTTTGTGCAAAAGCTTTTGCGATATTGATAACAATTGGTAGTCAGTCTAGAGACAAACATCTATACCTTCTACAAAAGATAAAAGAGACTACAAGTAGTTGTTCATTCCAACTTTAAGCTACATCCGATCCTCCATTAAGAAACTTTTAAAAGGTTCTACCATAATCCTATTGATCACAAAATGAATACACAACATCACCCCTAGTAAAACACGAGTGTACAACGTCACTCTTTGCATACCAAGTATTTTTGATTGTCACTTCTCACTACAAAGGTATGTGAACAACTAAAGGAGTCAACTCATAGAGGATGTACAATTTACCCTCCAAACAAGGATTTAATTTCAGTAGGTGAAGGACATGACAATGACTTTTTTCTTGCATATATCCTTCTTAAGATGATTGTATTGCTTGAAGGATCCTTTTTCTTATATCTGATTGTTGTGCAAGATTCTTGTGTCTTTTTCTTTGAGGTCTTTATCTTTTATAGGTGTTTAAAAATGGATTTTAAGCCTAACTTAATCCCACAAAATCAACTTGTAAGGTGAGGTTTGCTCCAACTTATATATATATATACGTACATACATACATACATATATATATATATGTATGTATGTATACATATATTCTAAATTTGTTTTATCTCTAGTTGATGTGAGACTTTTAACACACCCTCCTCACACTGAGGTATATACATCTTGAGCATGAGATTAAATATTAATGGGTGGTCCAGTAGCGGCTTGATAGCAAGTGAAACAATAGACCCAACAAACAACCAATTTCATGAGGACAGGCTCAAACCTATGACTATGATATCATATTAAGAAGTGAACTTTAAGTCTAACTCAACCCGACAAAACTGACTTGCAAGATGAGATATGCACCCACTTATATAATGTGAATTGGTCTTTTCTCTAGTCGATGTGGACTTCCAACACCCCCTTTCATGTTGAGGTATATACATCTTGTGCGTGAGATTAGACATTAATGAGTGGTCCGATAGCGACCAATAAACCAAACAAATAACAAATCTTGTTAGGATAAACTTTAACCTAACTTTGATACCATGTTCAGAGGTGGACTTTAAACCTAATTCAATCTCACAAAATCGGCTTGAAATGTGAAGTTTACACCCACTTATATATTTTAAATTGGTCTTATCTCTAGTCGATGAGACTTCAACAATAGACTTCATTGGAATGTGTATATTATAGTATCATTGTAACTTTTTATTATGTGTATTGAAGTCAGTCTTCTTGTGATCTTGATATCTTGGATATAAGACTGATAATCTTTGATTTTGTTCCAAGATACTTTTTGTAGTTTTTTTATATGATATCTATAACAAACAAGAAAGAGGTGAAAATACAGAACATATCACAAATAGTATATTTCCTTTTATATGGAGATGCAGTATTTAAGAAAGTGTGACAGCTGTTTGCACACGATTTGTTCCAGAAATAAAGCATGTAAGGATATTTATTTTAAATAGCTCTGGTTTTAGAAAGATACTAAAGATCCTTTCATAAAGATAGTGCATTTGACGTTTGATACACTAGATGATCATATAGATGATAGAAGGTATGTTTGTTGTTATGTATAGAGAATCCATTTTATTTACATTGTAAAATCTTATGTATTTCTGATTACGTTTGATTAGCCAATATTACTTCAAAACGTAATCTCCTTTGTTATCATAAAAAATGGTCGTTCAATATGTCTAGACTGTTTTAGACTAGACATCCGGGTCTCAACAGGGACCAAAGCAGATCGATAACCTATACAACACAAATAATTCATTTGAACCTTAAGGGTAGGAAGAAAACTTAACCACATTGAAAGGAAGGATCTATAATTGAAAAGATCCTTGGAAGTACCACACCATAAGTAATACATCAGACTTGATGACTTTAATAAAATATAAAGTCCCTAGGAAGATGCCTTGCAAAATTAAATCTACTCTTAGTATTCCACATAATTGCATGATAGGACAAAGTACATAAAGATATATCTACACTATGTCAAGGACAAACGACATACATCCATTTTTGGATGTCAATTGTTAGATATATTGACAAGAGACTTCCTGTGGAAGGCTGCTGAGATCTTATTAACATGCTAGGAATGATAAATATTCTTTCACAAGTTGAGAGATGTGTTATTTGTTGTTCCGTTTTCATGTTGTACAAATATTTTTTTCTTTTATAGTTTTTGTTTCTTCTTTTCCTTTACTTCCATTAATTAGTACAGTGGGTTTGTTTTATATTTATGAGGCTAGATTTTATTAGGTGTCCTATAAATGTTGAAATCCCTCGGTACAGATTATTCCAGTAAAACTAATATTGAAGTCTCATTTCTAGTCAAACTAATAGTTATATTGTTTTTAGTCTCTCAGCCCCAATATTTTGGAATATTAAATGTGTTTGCTAACTGTAATGATGTTAATAGATGTACAGAAGGGCATATCTGGAAAAGCAATGGTGCAAGTTAGTGCAAGTAGGTTTCGTCCCAATCTTGTGGTATCTGGAGGTAGGCCTTATGCTGAAGATGGATGGAGATACATTAGGATTGGAAATAAGCATTTCAGTGTAAGTTCAAATAACCTTCTATATGGCATGATAGAACAAATTTCTTATTATTGAAAAATTGGACATCGTAGATAACCCCTTTTGACTAACCTGAGCTACGCTACTTGCATTGATTAATGGTACTTACTTGAGCAAATTCATGGATTCATTTACTGCTAATGTAGCGATATGCAAACTAAGATATTTTAGGTGCCAATATGTCTATTTGTATTTCATCTTTGTATTCTTTTCTATGAGATTTTGGGTACACAATGTTTTATAACTAAAAAAAATGTAAATTTAAACCCAACTGAAACTAATGTGGAACTAGGGGAACCCAATAGTAGGTAACATGACCTAACATCTTATTAGTTAACAATTATATATCATAATTTAGTGTTATCTTTTAGTTAACGTTACAAGAGCGTTGTCAATTCTTGTTGGTATGTTGGATATCTATACACCAAACTTACAACGGCGTTGACAGGATATTTTAGAAAAAATTAACTTGAACTCTTAGGGATATTTCTAGAGTAAATTGATCTAACATCCCATGATGTCTTTTAGATTGCACAATAACCCTTCTTTTTGTCTCAACATTAACTCCCTTAATTGTTTAAAAAATAGTATCGTCATACCTCTTATACATTAAACAAACCCTAAAAGAAAGAGGATTATGTGCAATTTAGTCTTAATACTGATTCCCTGTAATTATGAGTTCTTCATGAAGGAATAGCTTGGAGAAATCCTAGTCATCCTAATTACAAAAAATATAAGAATAAGATAAAAAAGACAACATAATTCTTTTGTTTAATAATATATTTAATTTGATTTATTCATCAGTCGCTAGGGGGATGCAATCGATGCCAGATAATCAACCTTGCACTAAATTCGGGACAAGTGCAAAAGTCAAACGAACCTCTGGCAACTTTAGCATCCTACAGGAGGGTAAAGGTTGGCCTTTTTTTAATCCAGAATTCAGTTATATATTTGATTTTCTTGATACATCACTGTTCTAATATAAATATATCAAAACAGGGAAAGATTTTGTTTGGCATATTACTGAAACATGCTACTATTGATGGAGAGCAGCAACAAGGTGCTGATTCCTGGCTTCATGTGGGGCAAGATATACATCCGGATTAAAACACAAATACCTGCAAAATCATCTACTCAAACTCAAAAGCTTTAGTTCATGTGTCTGTATGTGAGAATGAACATTGTAAGAAAAACTCATATTCGCAATGCTGTCTATTGAAAACTGAAAATAAAAATAATCAATAAAGAACGTCAAGCTATGGGAAGAAACATGTTGGCTATCTTTGTTGTATTTCTTTTATTTTTTATTTTAATCAAACGTTTTTAAGATCAATAAAAATACATATATAATTTATCGATCTTAAAATTGACCATATGGTCAATGTTAATGATTTCAAACTTTAGAAATATGAAAAACAAAAAATGACCAAATACATTTAAGTCATAAATATAATATAAAAAGGGACATATAACATGAAAATTATTTTCTTAACAAACAAATTAATTTATCTTAATTTGAATTTAAATAAAGTGAAGAAATTAATAAATTCATTTATTATCAATGTAAATGGTCATGTACCTTAGACTAAAACAAAATGATGAAATTCAAAGACATGCTTAAAAAGAAAGTTAATTAATATCACACGCTGAAGTTAATTAATAAAATGTACTAACAATAGTAATATTAGAAAACATATTTCACTTGTGTTCTTAATAATAATAACAGTAATAGAAAAGAATGACTATGATAAGAATATGAAGTATTGTCGTTGTCCCAATATATTTAAGAAAAAAAAGTTTGTCACTTTAAATAAAGACCATTTTCTAATCTTATGTTATTTATTCTTTTACAGAAATACTCTTAATTTTTTATAATAATTATTGAGATTAACTCATGACTTCTTGTTGTGGTACCTTGCCAATGTATCCTTCCTAATCTAATGTACCAAAATGAAAAAATAAATCTAATTAGATAAGAAGCAAGTAAGGGGAAGAATAAAAAGAAAGTATATCCCAACAATTTAAGTATATCCCAACAATAAAAAGAAAATATATAAAGTGTTAACAAATTTCATAACAAAATTAACTAAATTCTTTACACAAACACAATAACGTTTTTTTTATGTGCGTTATTGTAGGTCTGTAACTGAAAAGTGTAAATTTACATTTGATAAAGTTTTTAACGTAATTTTACGTCTATTCACTTAATAATATTCATAAATTTTTGTTTATATTTTTTATCTTTCTTTTATCAAAAATTTAATGTCTATTGTCTAAATGTTAGAAAATTGTGATAAGTTGTTTTTTATGTTAGTGTTTAATAGAATAGAATATGATAAAACAAAATGTAAAATTATATCTTCATACACAAATAATTTTATGAAAAAAAGTTCCATGTTAGCTCAAGAAAATTAAATTGTAGTTGTACATTAAACATATAATTACAATAAAAGTGTAACATATCTTAATTATTTTTAATAAACTATTGTGTAATTTGCCTTATTTTAACAGTTAACCGAAACTCATAAGTATAAAAAAAGTTGAATGATATTCTCATTGTATATAATAAACTTTTTATTTTATAGTCATTTCAAAATCAAATCTAACCTAATTAATAGATAATTAAGAAAATTATAGTGACGGGGCAATGGAAATTGAATAATTAAGAATTGTATACAAGTTCCGTTTCTTGACTTTTGATTGAATGGTTTTTCTGTTTCTGAATTTTGATTTGTAAACACAGAGATCCCTTCTTCAAAACCCCAACACAGGTCAGATCCCTCTTTTTTTCCATTTTCTTTCGTTTTCTTTCATTTTCTTTCGTTTTCTGATCTCAATCAAATGAATTGAATGTTTGTCAACGCATTGCAGAGAGGGAATTGATGCAGTTGTTGTGCTGAGCATAGGCACTCATGTGCAACTGCGTGTGCAATTGCAATTGCAATGCAGAAATCACGTGAAGCTCTTCTCCAAAGAAGAACAACGACAAAAACATCAACCAACGCTAAAACTGTCCCTGGGTGTGCTGTTTCCCTCTCTCTGCTTTTTCTTTTGTGGACTCTAATCTTCCTCTTAAGCTTATGGATCAGTCGCGGTCATGGTTACACCCCGAATCCCTCAGGTAATCAAATCAATCAATTTGTTTTCTTTTGGCATTAATTGAATTGAATGAATCATACTCTGTTCTGTTTAGGATTAGGAACTGACCCACAAACATCAATTCACCAAATCCTTTTCGTTTAGGATACCAAAACCCTACTAGGTCGTAGGGAATAAGTCACTCTAAAACCTCACAACCTACTCACTCGTTCGTAGGAGAATCTCCTTTCATACCATATTTCCACATGATAACATTCAACTGCAGATGCATGATGCATATTCTTATTAGTCAGTTTCTTATCTATGGATGTTGATGGATTTGAAGAATACTCAGTTCCTTTACCGAATTGGGAGGAAGATAAGCTTGGACAGTGTAAGAGCTCTGATTCTGCTATGAGCGATTTGGTCGAAGAAACTATTACTTACATTCCCCCTGAAGCTTTACACTCTGAAGATGCCCAGACCAATGATTTTGTTCCCGAGTCACTCCCCAACGAAGAAACGCGTGATTATGCTGAACCTGGTGCTTGTAATAATCAAGATTGTGACACTCCCATTATTGAGGTACACGAAGTTGAGAGTTGGAATTCTTCGGCCAGACTCGAAGATCATGTGCAAAAATCTGATCATTTATCTTGGGCTGTGCCTCTTGGCCTTGATGAATTTAAGAGTAGAGCAATTAGTTCAAAAATTAAACCTGGCACTGGTTCATCTGGAAGTGTAATGCATAGAGTGGAGCCTGGTGGTGAAGAATACAATTATGCTTCAGCCTCAAAGGGAGCAAAAGTTTTAGGTTCTAACAAAGAATCCAAAGGTGCCTCTAATATCTTAAGCAGAGACAAAGATAAGTATCTTCGGAATCCATGTTCTGTTGAAGAGAAATTTGTCATCATAGAACTTTCCGAAGAAACCTTAGTAGATACAATAGAAATATCTAATTTTGAGCATCATTCTTCAAATTTAAAAGCTTTTGAACTTCTTGGCAGTATGAGCTTTCCAACAGATGTTTGGCTTTTCCTTGGGAATTTCACTGCCTCAAATGTGAGGCATGCTCAAAGGTTTGTTCTTCAGGAGCCAAAATGGGTGAGATATTTAAAGCTGAATCTTCAAAGTCACTATGGTTCTGAATTTTATTGCACGCTAAGTGTAGTTGAAGTTTATGGTGTGGATGCTGTTGAGAGGATGCTGGATGATTTGATAAATACTCAAGATAATATGCTCGCTCCTGGGGATGGTAATACTGACAAAAGGGCAGTATCGCCCCAGCAGCATCCTCATCCTTCGGAGAGTGAAGATGTTCATCAAAATACTTTTAGAGGGATTAATTTTGATCATGCTTCAGATATCTCTTCTTCTAATCATGAGAGACTAAACACCATCATTCCTGATCCAGTTGAAGAAACCCGTCAACAAGTTGGCAGGATGCCTGGAGATACTGTTCTCAAGATTCTGATGCAGAAAGTTCGAACTCTAGACTTAAATTTGTTTGTTTTGGAGCAGTATATGGAAGACTTAAATTCCAGATATGTCAATATTTTCAAGGAGTACAGCAAAGACATGGGACTAAAAGATATACATATACAGAAGATCAAAGAAGACATTAAGAATCTCATTGACCAGCAGGATTCTATAGTATGTTAAATCTATCCTGAATGTTGTTGTCACGTGTTTAATTCGTTAAAAACATTATTAACCTACATTTTATTCATTTTTCAATTGATTTGTTGACCTTGCAGACAAAAGATGCTCGTGATCTCAAATTCTGGAAGTCTCATATTTCCATGCAGTTGGATAATCTAGTCAGAGACAATGCTGCTTTGAGGTGAGAGTTTACGAAACAAGTTTTCTGTAGTTTGTATTATATGAACGTAAGAGCTAGTTCAAATTTAGTTATTATTTCCCTTTGAAAGTGTCTTTAAAAAAGTATAGTAGTTGAATATCTATGACAATTAAGGGAAAGGTTTAGAAGAGTATTAAACTACTCAGTATAGTTACTGTTGAGATAAAAAGAAAAAAGGTAAAATTTTAAATCTGTCTACCAATAATCTGCTGTGAAGAATAAAAATTTACAATCATATAACTTGCTGCTTTTAACTGTCTTAATTTTATGACTTTATCTGTTTAAACATAGATACTTTTACATGTTAGTTATTTATTATCCCATATGTCACACAAACATGATTTCAGATATAATATAGATAATTAAACCAAAATTATATAACTGTTGTCTAATTTTTTATGTTTTTGCTTTATTTAATTGTCTATTATATCTAAAATCTAGTATGTGTACACACACACATATAGAGAGAGAGAGGACGTGTAAGTTCATTTTTAATTGAAGAAAGCTCTGAATTACGCTTTACATTGTACTGTTGTAAACTTGTTATGTAATCATGTAACTTAACAGGAGTAGGCATGGTTTGGATTTAAAACACAAAACCAGCTTTAGATTTGGAACCAGTTTGGATTTCAGAATCAATTTTATTGTTAGACCGGTTTATAAACTGGTTGTTGGTTTTTCTCTTTTAGTTGAAAGAAAGTTGTTGTCTTATCTCTGGCCATGTGACATGCCATTGGGATTGCCTACCGTGATACTTGCAAAAGGCATTATGATGAAAATACTACCGGAGCTTTTATGTCTTACCCCATCCTCTGACTATCTTCTTTCACTTTTATTGGGTCAGAAATAGGTAATCGGTTTTAGCAAATCAAATAAAATCAGTGAGAGATGGTGATGTCATTTGGGGGGAATAAATAAAAATAAAGCATGCCATAGAACGAAAGTACTATGAAGAAAGTTGATATATTATTTACTGTTTCTGGACCTTACCTATGTTGTGTACTTGCCCTTTGTTGCCATTGATTATTCCTGAAAGAATGATGCCATTAATTATTTAATTCGTTGGGATCTGATTTGTTTAGGTCCGAGGTGGATGAAGTCCAGAGGAAGCAAGCATCTTTAGAAAACAAGAGTGCGGCAGTGTTTTTGGTGTGTTGTATTTTTTCATTGCTAGTTATATTTCGTCTTTCTCTAGATATGGCTACTACTGTCTATAGAGTTCTAAGTGTTAATAGAACAGATTACTCTGGGAAATTTTTTGCCGTTAGCTCTTCTTGGTTTCTCCTATTATTGAATTGTATCATTATTATTTTTATATTAGTTTTGTGATAGTCCATATTTTAAATGTGTAGTTAACTTGTGCGAGATGCTTTTGGTGATTGCGTTGTCTCTCTCAATATAGATGTAGAAACTTTTTCAAAGTTTTTTTATTAATCATTGTCACTTGCATTACTAAAGTGGCTTTTGTTTAAAACCAAGAACAGGGGAAGCAATACAGTTGACCAAAATATTGTACCGATAATAGTACGAATCAATTTCTTTTGAAGATAACACGTGAAGATGATGATCATATTCCTTTAAGTAACTATCGAGTAATACCATCTTCAAGTGAAACTGGCGTGTTCATGAAATAATGTCAAAAACACCAAATCATGATTTGCATACATATAACTTCGTATAGTGATATTTCCACCTCATACAATTCCATCTCCACATGAAAATAACTTGATTCAAACTTCATAATTAAAGAGACTGCACTGTACTCTCTCTCCCTCTCTCTGTCCTGTTCTCTTTCCTTCCCTCTCTCCTCTCCGTGTTCTAATCAAATCCTTAAATAAAAATTACTCACGGTCATAAACTCAGTTCACGGACCTAATCTCAATCACGCTCATCTTCCAACCTCGATCACAAATCAACTTTATCCAAATAAAAATAAATTAAATGCGGACTTCAATAATTTTAAAAAATTACAAAGTATAAAATCCATACCAAAAATAAGCATATCACATTATGCACCAAAGTAAGAATTTTACACCATCATTATGGCATCAGAAAATGACACCATTTTACAAAGTTTATTTGAATAAAATCATGCAACGACCAAATTTTAATATAAACCAAATATAAGGGGCAAAAGTTTAACAGACCCACATAAAATAAACCCGTAATTAAGATACTCCCCATATGTCTAGTCCCAGATCCATCAGCGATGGTGTATTATTTCAATCATTACAAAACAAGATACATGGGTTGCATCCAAAAAGAGCAAATTCTAAACAAAAGAAAAGGAAACATTAAAAAAGCTATAATAGAAGTAAAAAGAATATTGAATAGCAAATGTATTCAAGTCCACCTTGATACCAAACTTCCGGATAATGAGACGAATGCCGGAAAACATACTGATAAACTATAGTCTTCTATATACACAAACACTTCCTCACCTAAATATACCACCGGCAGAGACAAAGAATTGGTGAAGGCCGTATCCTCAAAGGTATGAAATGGGGCAGGAGCATCCTCACCCTCCAAAAATGTATCAAAATATTAACTGTCATGCGATGATCACCAGTCAGCCACATGTCAATATTTGTAACCTGAAGAACCAGGAGGGGCGGGAGGTAACCGATTTGGTGTTCGCCTGCTGCCGGAGTTTGAACCAGAGTTCACATCACCATTTTGTGCAGGATCACTATTATGTCGACTGTGACCATTGGATCCTGATCTTGAAGAACCACTTCTACTAACAGGACCATTGGCGGCTGCATCAAAGGCAGATCTCCAGTCATCACCAGGTCCACTGCTTTTTGGGCTACTCTCTGCAAAACAAATAAATAAGCACACTTGAAAAACACAGAAAGGAACTACCAGTATTAACCAAGTATAAAAATAAAAACTAGTTTCAACAAAATAAGCCTACATGAATTGAGGTCAATTACCAGGACAATCAATGTATTAAGATATAAGGGTAGGATCCTTTAAAACAAAACACTTTACAAAGTAACAAGCAATTGGTAACGGCTAATGAAAAAAAATTGTGAATTCTAGGACATTCATAACACTGTTTTGTGTGTATTCAACTAATATTAATAAGTCAACAGTAACCATCCAAGAAATAGTGAATGTTGATTATGCTCACCCATCCATATGAAAATGAGTAAGAAAGCAGCTTAACACACCTGCACTACCATTTGACCAGCCAGAAGCAGCAGCTGCTCGGTTGTCATGAATACTCAGTTGGCGTGTTAATTTTGAAAGAAGTGAGGATTGTTTCTGGATTCTCTCTCTTCTGCGCTTAACATTTTGATCTTCCAAAAGTAGCTCCTCAATCTTTGCAGTGCTTTGTGCACTAATCATGGAAACATAAGAAAAATGTCAACAATAAAATATACAAGGTTTAGAACTATTTATGAATAATCGTCATTGTCATTTTCAAAACTACAGCATCCAACTTAATTAGCATGTACATAAATTAACACTGGAATCAATAATGAACCACGTCTCAGGTTCAGATAGTACTATACATTTAGGTTGGATGAATCACACAACATTATAATGTTCTATAGTTAAATCATGTATATAGACAAATTATAGACACAAATCCTTCTTAAATGGTTCGCGAGGTTTTCACTTGGATTCCTTCTACTTCTAGATAAGGAGCTAACCTCCACCCAATATAATCTCCTTCCTTGTTGTATATCTTCTCTACGCACACACGAACAACCTACGGCAAGCCTCTACTATAGGTGCTACTCTACCTTTTTCCTCTAATGCATTCACTCCCAATATTGGCTAGTTTTGTCAACTCATTAAATGCAAAATCCTCATCTCCATTACATTAAATTTATTCACTTATTGGCATTTATCTACATAGACATTAACTCATTCAATGCAACATCCTTGTCTCCATTATATTATATCTATTCCGTTGCTGGATTTTATCTACCAACATTCAGTTCCACAACGCATTGCAGGTCTGAAGCTGTGCAGCAAAAATATTCCGGAAATTTGGTTAGTCTCATTCCACAAAATTTAGAGGAATGTAAAGACAATTTAAAGGCATTTTGTAATCTCTTCAGTTCCTTCAAAATCTTCAAGAATGAGACTTGCACGTAATAGATGCAGCAAAGTAAACTAATGCAAGTGAGTAAAAATAAAAGGCAATAACAAATTTCTGAACCTGACAGAGCTATATAACTGATTCAGCATGTCTTCCTTAGCTTTTTCAACTTGACAGAGGACAACTGCCTATAAAACAAGTAACCAAAAAATGCATGAAACGTTAAATGGAAGAGCTGAAAAAAATTATAAAAATAGAAAATGTTAAAAGCTGAATCTTACTTTTGGTACATTAGCAGCTAAACTATTTAATACTGCTTCAACATATCCACGAACTTCTTGTGACATCCACCGGAGTTCTTCCTCAGGATCTGCAGGTCTTCGAGCCATTGTGTCCTGAGACAAGATGAAATATAATAATAGCCAGTCAACAATAGCAAGACTGACAAAAAAGAGGTGAGTTGGCTCATTTTTCCACCCCTAATTAAACTTACATTAGATAAATGAGGCAGATTTTAATTTCTAAGAACTAGCTTTAATTTTGAAGCCTAATGAATGCACCATAAAAATGCCATGCGTGTTAATAATGCCTTTAAGCTAGCAACTAACCAAGGAACCATCTGAGAGGCTTTGCCTCATGGTAGATCCACCGTCAGATGAGATCCTGATCTGTCCACCCTTTGCTTGTATAACACTATTTATCTTCTTAATCCACTCAACCTTATCAGATGCACTTTCAGCCTTCAAAACAACAGTACTATGTGCTGCAAGATAAAAACACAATAATTAAAATGGTTTCAAAATTTTGTAAGAAATAAAAGTGTGCATGTTCCATTGAATGCTATATTAACAGAGAAATTTACCTTTCAGAACAGATTTATAAGGAACTCTATTGGTAATTTTAAATACAAGGTTGACTTTGCCAGAATCTGGTCCATTGGACTTCTTGTCCTTTGAGCTTTTGGATGGGGGATCATCTTCATCCCCAGCCTCTTCAATGTTACATTCCTGATGCAATTTAAATAGCATGCTTATCAAGAATTAAGATATGCATTGTTCCACTCATTTAATGGCATTATCAAAACCAAAGCCAGTGTTGAGTGAAATGTAGTCATGACAAAATAGAAGAACGAAATACGAACTCCGCAATAGTCAGAAGTAAAAGAAAATGGGTAGTCCAAAGCACGATGTATGCATCTTAATTGTAAATATTCCTTTTAAGGCAAATATGTCCAGAATGTTAATTTGGTACATGTGTCAACTTAACCTTAGTAATAAAACTCCAAAATGTTTGCTTAGACAAGGAGCATATTGTTAAACATCAACTGTACCAACAAAGTCATCATTGCTTTATTACAACTCGTGACTTGACACAGGATGAAATTTTCTGGAAAATTTCATTATCACGTTGTAAATTTCAAAAATAAAAAATATATATTTCAAAGGTTTTATAAATGGTGTGCAATATGTCATATTTTAAAAGTTTTATAAATCATTCTATTTCAAACGAATTCCTTTAAAGACTAAACTATAGCATTCCATACACAGTACTAAAAAACGTGATAACGAATTGACAATCACTATGTGCGGGCACCTGCAGCATCTATTCAAGCAAATATAATGAATTGCAGAGTTGAGAATTCCATCATAATTTGTATGATGCACAGACAGTACTCTAGAATTTATTAACCATGATTTATATGAATAATTAATCAAAGTAGTCCTTACCTCCAATGTAATAACACCACGAAAATGTCTTTCCTCTTGTTTTTTTGTATACCCAAGCTGTGGAGTGAAAGGTTAAAATCGATACTACACAGTAAATTAATTAAAAGAAGCAAATTATAACTTCATATCTGAATGAAAAGAAAAGATCGATCACAGATTCAAAAATATGATACAGTTGAAATCTACAGGAATTATCATAATTCAAACATCAATGACAAGTTTTAAAGCGTTACAGCTGTTACTTGTTAGAATATTATGTTAGTCTGCTGTTAGTCTTATTAGGCCAGCTTATAAAAGGACTACACTACTCCAACTCCTAATTGTTATTTGTTAGTATGTATAGCTTCAATATCTTCGCAGACTATTTGTAGAATACCTTTAACAGAACAAACAGCAATTCCTGTTTTGCATTATTCTAATATTATAGTTATACATAGTATCTCTATTGTTTTCCATCTTTTCTACCTCAATCCCGTACTTTCAACATGGTATTAGAATGATCCCATCAACAATTGCCTACTGCAGTTACAATTACTCTGCCTCATTGCAAAAACCTACAACACTCTCTGGCTTTCACTTTCAGTGGCCGTCTTAA